CCCCGTGGGTTCAACTCCCCCCTCGGACGCCTCTGGGACACCTCTCGGGCATCTCTTATGGCATCCACTTTGGCTTAACTCCTCCGGGATACGGTGCAACAGATTCAACAAGCTCACATGTTCATGACATCGACATCGATAGAAGAAACCAAACAAATCATGCAAGCAGCTTTGTTTTGCCTCTGGGACACCTCTTGGGCACCTCTTATGGCATCCACACTGCAGTGGAGGTTTTGGGATCCGGTGCAACAGATTCAACAAGCTCACAGGTTCGTGAACACATCGGATGCATCGAACAATGTGGCAAAGTCCAGCCACGCTTCCTTAATTATCGGGGACTTCAATTCTAAGGTTGGCTGTGTCATTGCTGTTTGTGTGTCTTACATGTTCACAACGTTTTACCTCATGAGCATTTGCCTCACTCCGCTTGATGTCCCACAAGTCCGGATGCACCCCTGCTAGCTTTCGTCACCTACCCTCGGCCTCAAGTTTTATGTTTGTATGCTGACTGGACAGGAAGCGTTCGCACATACCACATGCTGCCCTTATTCGTGGGTGCGGCTCTGGTGGTCACAATGCATCCCAGTGTCTGCCTGCCATGATTTGTTTTGGAGATCCAACTGGGAGTTTGAAGTTCTTGGGTGCGCAATGTCGGACTAGAGAGAACTGATTTGCTTAGCTGTTTTTCTCAAAACGGCGCACTAATTCCTTTGAAGTTCTCTGTAGCACTTGAAGCTATGTCCCCTGCGGAATTTGAACTGGTGATACGCCGCTTGTGTACCCTGGGATGTCCAACAGAAGCTTGGATTGACATGCGGCCAGAATCAAACACCCAGTTGATCTATTGTATAACTGTATAACATCACCATCCCTGCCGAGGACTTTATCTAGCTTGTGCTGTTCGTCCATTGGTTTGACTTCGGCGATCTCTCCCAGGACAACCTTGACCTACAGGTCTTGGAACTCTTTGCAGGAGTGGCAAGGGTGGCAAGAGTAGCGCGTCGCATGGGCCTACGAGCCAGGGCATATGACATCAATTTTGACCATGAAAACAAAAGGAGATTCCGGTTTTCTTCGCATAGCAACCGGAGAAAACGTGCCTTCATGGATATCAATGGTGAAGCTGGCTTTGTGTTCCTAGGCAGTCAGGCTGTCAAATATATAACGGGCGAGCCCAAAGGTGGAAATCAACATAAACCTATGTAACTGTATAAGAAAACCTGTTCTTTTGCAAATCCAAGGCTTGCAGTGGCCCTCCTACTTCGAGGAAGGTGGGCCGAGATGTTTGTGGTTCTGGCCATAGTTTGCAGCTCGTGGTCTTCAATCAATAAAGGAACTTCGGAAAGGGATGACTTAATCCCACTCGGTGCAACATACAAACCACCTGTGAGATCTGCAAACAAAATGGTCTGCAGGACAGGGTGCTGATGAAACAGTTCCCCAAACATGTGTTGGAATGTTCTGTTTTGTTTTAATCTTGCGTTGGATGAGTTCAATTCAAGTTGTGCTGATAGGTGTGTCCTACTTATGTGCTTGGTGGTTTCTATGGACTCAGTCTTCTTGGTTGAGAACCCTGCCAAGTCATCGATCCTTAATCACCCCCGAATGCAGTGGTTGTTCAAGCAACTCCGTGCTTTGGACATCAAAGCTCTTTGGCTTCAAGCCGAGCCTGTTCAAATTACTTTGCAAAAGTATCTTTGGAATGATTGCCCAAACACACCCATCCTCATGATCCCTTGAATGCCTAGGTATGGCGAGCGAAATTTTGGATGGCCGCCTTCAAAGCTCCGACGCCAAAACCAACCATGTGCATTAGCAACAGTGAAACCATCCGTGCCTTGCAAACGGGAACCCTGGGCCTCAAGAATCTTGCAAAGGATGAAACAAAGAAAACGGTTGTGAAATACCAAGATGGATCTGGCAAGTGGCGGTACCAGGGTTCCAAAGCATTGAAAGAAACACAGACGCTCACCTTTGAACATGAAAGTGCTTTCGATCTTTGGGTCTGTGGGTATGTGAGTCTTTTGGTTCCAAAGCAAATTACCCCTTCAACTGTGGTGAACTTGTGGCTGACCCTCAGGATCTATACACCAAAATTTGCTTCGACTTTGGTGGGTCTGACAGCGGAGATGAAAACCGAGATTCGGCCAAGTATTCCACCCGTGACTTTGCCATTGAATCAAGTCTGTGATTCTTTCTTGTTCCCACCCAGACCAGAAGCCAACCCTAAGGCCCCAGCTTTCTCACTGTTGCTTTCCGAGGCCAAACCTGACGTACATCTCATCGCTGTGGTGGCCGAGCTTGTGTGGTCAAGCTGGGATGAGGGTGAACTTGAGGATGCGCTCCTTTACATGATGGGGTCATCCCGTTGTAGGATCCCGGCCGAGTGGGCGCAACATGTTCCCACCGCAGAGCATTTGAGATCTTTATAGGTCTCTTTCAGGATAGGGCAGGGATAGAAGGAACAAGAAGGAACATTAGCACCAAGTAGCCTCTGTATTGCAAATTTGGGTGGATCTGGAATCTCGTGTGTTTTTTTTCGGCGTTTCTTCCCGTCATTTCGGCGATTCTTCCCGTCGTTTCGGCGATTTTGAGCGTACAGTACTTTTGATCAAATCCTGAGCCCTATTCTGAAAACAGAACAGTAACTTTTGGGGGGGCAATCGACTTGAAGGCATCGGCTTTCAAGAGAAAAGGCTGATTGTCCGATGAAGTGTTTTTGTGAACAAGTGATGTCGCTCAATGACAACATGTTAAGTTTTAAAGCACAAACGCCGAAACATAATCTTTGACAACTTGGATTACTTCACTGAATACTTTGGGTAGGGACTTTGCAACCAGGGTGAGCCATCTTCTGTATACCACCCATAGTTGTGAAACACACGGATTGGAGGCACAGGGGACCAAGCACGTCTCACAGTCATGGCTGAAGTTCCTAGAAGTTTGTCGTGTGACACCCTCATGACTGGCATGGCAGCCATCAAAGGGCAATCTGGCTTTTTGAAAAGTCAGACTGACCACCAGCTGGAGCAAGAGTTGGCAGTTCCTAGGATGCGTTTGTTCATGTCTTCGCTATGTTTCACTGCCTTTTGAACCTTTTGGAATTCACAATAGGTCCCTTGTGTTTCAATAAGCTGTGCACAAGTAGAACTATGGATGTGTGGCTTTCGCGGTGGCTCCATAGCCATGCCTAGCACCAATTAAGGAGCTTGACCAATGTTTGGAAATCAATTCCTCTTCACCGACGGAGCTTGACCGAAGTATCACTTCGCAAGAGTGGTGGGATCAACAAGATGAACAATAGCCATGGCCTTGGAATTCCAAACCTGATCCTTACATCAAAGTCAGCAATCTTCCCTTTTAGACGATGTTCGTACGTAACAAAACCATGGACTACATTTCAAGTCATCCCCATGAGTAATACTGTCATTGGACCCACTGGATGTCTGATCTTACCCATCCCAGGAATTGGAGAGGAAGCCTCGTCCATCTTGCCGTGCAGATGTTCTTCCCACTCCAGCCCGCTCTGCCACGCCTGCAACCGTTCCAGGTATTGACGCCGAACTGCAGCCTCGCAGGTTGCTCATGAGCCCGTGGGCCGAGACGGCTCGGGACGAGCTTGGGACTACGGGTGACTCTCGTGAAGGTGAACCAGGTGAAGTGGGTTTACCAGGTGAACCTTTTCAGAACCTGGCTGCGACTGAGGGCGGCCAAACTGTTGATCTAGAGGTGGAACCCGAGACTAGCATCCCAGAGGAATCACAAATCCCGTTGGTCACTGATACCAAAGCTTTGAGGCCCAAAGCTGGTGAGCTTCAGTTGTCCCAGAATGCAATCAATGCTCGTCTTCGTCGGGTCATGACACCAACATTGAAGGGAAAAACAAAAGTATCCCAAGAAATTGTGAATGATTGGCATTCTAGCGGCCCAAGTGGCAAGAAGCGGAAACAACTGCAGCAGATCTTTCAACTTTGCGGGTACAATGTCGATCATTGGCCAAAATTCAAAAACATGTTTTCTTTCCACCAGAACTTGTTGGGAACCGAGCCTTCTCCTCAAGCTTCCTTCTTCGCCCTTGCGGCTTCTCGTTCTCAGGAAACCTTCGTTGAAGAGGTTGAGGTGTTGCGTCAGGAGCTGGAGGAATCGGAGGTTGTCATAGAAGGGGAGTACGTGAGCAAGGATGTGATGCTATCTGATTGGGGATGGAGTGAGTAACTTGCACCACTAGATGTCAACAGGTGTCGATAGCCAAAACATGCACTGCAACATAATCATTAATTGGTTATTGTACTCACAAGTTGCCTGTGTTTCAACACCTTCCTGGCTAAGGCAACGGGTTTCCGCAGTTATCAGATTTGCACGGACCAACCCTGCCAAGTACATGAGGCCCAACTCTTTTTGTTTTGATGTGCCTCCCGAGCGAACAGTCCCAAAGACTAAACCAACCTCTGAAGTTGTGAGGCGGGACCAATATGAGAAGAAGACCTTGTACTGGGCTGAAAAAAACGATCAAGGGAACGATGAGGTCGCTTACTTGCAAACAATCTCCAACCTTCAACTATGTTTAGCAGCAACAAATACCCACACATTCTTGCCACCAGCTCATGGTTCGCCAAGGAAAAAAAGCTCGGTGACCATGAACCGCAGGATGAATTGGACGGAACAGGGCGGCGCTCAGGGCTCCCTCGAGCCTGCTGACAGGGAACGTTTGGTAGCACCACCTGTTCAGCTTCCAAAGCAAAAAAAGGAAGGTAGGGAAACATGTGTTTTCGGGTGCCTGTGGTCCTTCACACACATAATTTAACGGTACCATTGCTATAGCATGCTATAGCCCTACAGGCGATGAGTCAGAAGATGAAGAAGACCCCGATGCTGACCTTGAAGCTGACCATTTGGGAACACTTCGAAAGCAGGCAGGGCTACCGGAAATGCCAGACGATGGGCTGCCAAGTGCATCTTCTCAAAAACTCTTGCGCCTAGCCAGCAATCAACAGCAACATGATCGATGTTCAGACCAAGAGGATCTAAGTCTAAGGATTAAGGATCTATGGTTTGGACGGCCTTGGAAATCTTCTCTTTGAGCCCAGGTCGTGCTTGGACAAGAGGATTGCAAGACTTCAGCAGGGATTGGACAGGTATGCCGAAGGTAACCTTTCAGACCTCCAGAGCAGGACTGGTGATAATTCATGTTCTATTAGGCCTGTCACTGTTTTCACAGTAGTGATCCGTTACAATGAGGATGTGTGGCCACCAGCCATACCCCCAAAACACATTCCAACAGAATTAGTCGGGGAATGGCCACAAAGCGCATAGCTATCACAAGGCGTTATCTTTTTAAAGTCCCCCGGCCCCCGCTCCAGTGCCAGGATGAAAACAAAGATTGAAGCTGCGATTGCCGACCTTGAGGATATCCACAGTCGGATCCAAACATGCTTTTCCAATGGCGTGGTGGATGGTCTGACCAAACAGTGGTTACCTTAGCTTTCTTCCGCCTTCCCAAAATCAATGGCAAGAATCAAACCCACTGCCCAGGGTGCAGAAAAATCTCGGGAGCCTCCAGGCTGATGCCCAAAGGAAGCCACGGCCTCAATCGGACAAGAGTAGTCATTCTTCAGTGGCTTTCTTATCCAAGGGCTATGGACGCCGTCTCATTGGAAGGTCGCATGAGGCGGGTTTGTGAAGAAGTGATTTGAACACAAGTACTAGTCCATCCGAACTGCCCCAACTAAACATCCTTGTTTCAGGCAGCTCTACCCCAAGAAGGAGCAGGGCGATGAGAGTGAGAATAAAAAGAAACGAACGGCCAAAAAGGGCCAGGCGAAAGCCAAGGCTAAATGTAAAGCAAAGGCCAAGGCTAAAGGCAAGGCCAAAGAAGAATTGGCAGATGAAGATGAAGATGAAGGTGCTAAGGCCCCAAGGAAGCGAACCAAGAAGTAGGTAGATTGCTTGCAGGGCCCTGCTGCTGTTGAAGTTGATGTTTAAGTTGACGTTTAAAACAACATCTCACAAATCACAACATGCCAGCCAAATGTTTGGGGAAGGGCCTAGGCAATGCAACAGTTTAATTTGGACACACGGCGTTGAAATATCAACGCTCTTAGGGTATCCATCTTCTAGAGATGTCGATGGAACACGGGGCTCTGAGAAAAAGGCGGGATTAGCAATTGAATTACACCATGAGAACCATTGAGCAAGATGAAGTGTCACCCTTAATTTCAACTTCTTTCATGGCACCTTCATGGGGAATGATTCCTTGAAGACTGATTTGGAATGATGGCCAGGTTCGTATCGACCCGGCCCACTGGCAGAAGCATTTGCTGAAGCCGTTGCTGATGGGGTTTGGAACCCAATTGTATAAGCACAGGCATTTGGTTGGTGACCACAGACCAGCTTTATCAATCACAACTTTTCCACCCAACGCCGCTTGATTCTGAGGTCCCGGCATCATCCATCGATGTCATGGCGCGCAGCGCTGCTGTGGAAGCGAGGTCAAGTGACCTGAGCATGCCGAAGGTTACCAGTAGCAGTGCCAAAAATGCATCTAGAGCAGCGCATCGCATGATTAACCGCTACGGCTTTAAATGGAGGATTCCAATTTCAGAAATGCAATACAAGTTTGGTACGCAAACGCTTCACTTGCCCTACATGTCTCCCATCGACATTTACACTTACCTGATCGCACATCACCGCGAGATCTTGTTTGGTGGGTTCACTGAAGACTGCGACGTTCAAAACTTGTTGGAATCATTTTGGTGTGAATACAGGAATGTACACCCAGGACATCAACTGTTCCAAGACAATGGACCTGAAGGCACAGAGACCTTTGGTTCAGTTATCCCTGCTGTGATCTACGGCGACGAGGGAAGAGGCCTTCGCCGGGGCAATACGGCATTGGTGACTTTAGAGTCTCCTTTCGGCCTCTCTTCTGCAGAGAAATACCGAAACAATGACCATGCTTTCACGTGTGACAAATGTGATCCCGACAGCGGCTTGCAACAACAATATCCCTGTGCTCATGGGTGTCCAGCGCAAGTGCCTCTTGCAGCCTATGCCAGCACCAACTTTAAAGAGCATGTGTTCCTGAGCAGAGTGCCACTCTTTTTGGTGCCATGTTCTTTGTACAAGGAGCATCCGGACCTCCTTCAATTTATGGTACACAAGATTTCACAGGAGCTCAAGAAGTTGTACCATGAAGGGCTGGTGATTGGTGAACGGAAGTACAGAGTGGCGCTACTGGGCATGAAAGGCGATGCAAAATGGCTGGCCCAAATGGGGTCATTGGTTAGATGGTATGGGAAAAAAGGTCGCAAGCGCAATTTAGCAATGTGCGCAGAGTGCTATGCGGGGTTGGACCGCTTCCCGTATGAAGATGTTGGTGCAGAACCAGCATGGGCAAGAACATTGTGGAGATCTCGGCCATGGGATCCTGAATCTGAACCTTGTTTTCTAGACATACCCTTTGATGAGCGAGAACCTGAAAGGTTTTTGCGTCGTGATTTGATGCACATTGGGAAATTGGGACTGTATCGCCATCACACAGCTTCGGTTATCTGCACATTGATAACCTGGAAACTATTTGCTTGGCAGGATGCGAAGAATGATATCCCGACTCAACTTCAAAGAGCGCATGGACATTTCAAGCTCTGGTGCATGACCAATCATCGCAGTCCGTCCTTGAGATCGTTCAGCAGAACCTTGTTCAACTGGACCAACAAGAGTACCTATGCGTGGATGAACATTAAAGCCTCAGATGCCGTGCTTGTAAACCAGTGGATACAGGAGGCACTTTTGCCATCAGCATTGGACCAATTCAGTGATCCACGGCGCACAGGGATGCTGAAAGTAATGCTTGAAGTAAGCTTGTCATTGTCCAGATTTTCAAAGGTGCTCTTCAGCCACAATCTGTTGACAACTCGTCGATGCTGCCTGCAGCTTTATGAGCATGGGACACGTGCCTTGAACGGGTACGCGTGGCTTGCAAGTGAAATCGCTCCTGTGTGTGCATGGGCAATGGTGCCTAAGCTCCACATGTACAAGCATGTGATACATGATATGAAGCTCTTTCTTGAAAACTCTGCTGGGCGAGGATGTGCAAGTAAGTTGTTTCTGTCCCCTTTGGCCTTCTCAAATGAGGCCAATGAGGACATGATTGGAAAATGCTGTCGCTTGAGTCGCAGGGTTGACTCACGGATCATGCAGCAGCGTGTGCTGGAACTCTACTTAGTCAAAGCAAAGTTGTTGCATACGAGATGGAAGAAAAGGACATCCCTAGCCCAGAAAAACAAACGACCGAAGGCCGCCTGAGGACCAAGCAGAAGTCGATGGCAAGGAGGTCAAAATCATTGAGCCATCATGTGCGGGCGGGCGCGGCGCGGGGATGGGAAACCGTGGAAACATCGATTCGTCAATTTTTACTGTTCTCGGCGAAACTTGGATGAAAACCATCTCTCGTCAAAAATTGTGCCCCACCGGAGGCCCCAGGTATAGGGATTGGTTCGGCCCTATAGGCCTGAGCCCTGACCAGTTCGGATTCGGGTCCGACTTGAAGGACCCTATAGACTATTTTATATAGGTACCCCAGTAGGGTCCTAGTTCAGGTCACTTAACCTCTCTTGGTAAGGATTCGGGTCCAGACTTCGCGTTTGGGTAGATGGATTGAACATCTTGAGGTGACCCTCTTCACTGCACCTGTGCACTGGACGCGCGCGGCGGCTCCTGCGCCACTCACAGCTCACGGCGTCCCGCCCGGAGCTCCTGCTGTGCCTCGCGTGCCACTTGGACAAGAAGGGGCTGGCTTTGACCTTGGGGGTTACAAGGGGGAGGTGGATGTTCCCGGTTCCTGGGCGCCCCTAAAGCCCCTGAAGCAAGGTCGCCCAGACGCGAGCCTGGACCCGAATCCGCGGACCCGTTCCGGTTCCCGTTCGACCACACACGTCGACCCGGTCGACCGGTGGATGCAAAGGCTCGGCGGCTCAGCGGACATGGTCAACAGCCGATGTACGGGAAGTGTTTCGGGGAGCTTAAGATTCACTATATCCCAGACGCGACGAATGGGAATACATGCCGATCAGGCCAGGGGTAGGCATAGATTCCAGTCCCATAGAGCGGTTGGGTGCGGTCCGGGAACTGATCAACTGAAGTATGATAATAGTCATCATTCTCTTTGCAGTTCATATTTCAGAAAGTGCTGTAGGATGCTGTAGGCAAAACAACAGAAAAAAAAAACTATAGGTTTGTTTGGGGACTGCATGATTCCCATGGTTTTCTTTGTGTCAGCGTTTCGATCCACTTGCTCGGCACGGTTCCTGCGCAGGGCACCACCGCAGTCTGCGAAGTGGCAGGTGGGGTGCGAACGATGTGAAGCATTCGTTGAGAAGGGTCAGCTGCCCGAACCAGATCAATCACAAACTAAGACCCAACCAGAAACAAAAAACAATTCAACACCCCAAAACCACCACAGAAACCGGGAGGGTCATTACCTCATCGCACCATACAGTAAAAACACGTCCAGGGCGCCGGACTTTGATACACATGCCACATGAGTGCCATACCCCCAAAAACACTCCATGGGATCCCCTGGCACCCCCCCAAACCACTCCATAGCAGGACACCCGGGCCAGGGGCTTCTGATAGCCCCTTAGATGTGATTCGGGGTACCACCCCGACTGTGGGTCCTGGTATATGGCAGTCCCATGGAGTGTCTGGGAGATGTTCACCCATTCTCTTCGTCGCATCGGGCGTCGTTGATGGGGGTCTTTGTCGGAGAACTCAAGCGCAGTCGGATCGGAGGACGACCGCGGTTTACCACGTATGCTCCGTGAGAATCTCACGGGCTATATATATATATACCCTAGGGCTCCTGGCCCGAGGAGAAGATGGTTGGGGTGGATGCCAGGGGGGGTCATGGGGGGTCTAACCACCGAACCTGAGGATATGGGGGAGCCCTAGGGAAAACATCCACAAAACGTGGAGCGTAAAACCATCCCTAAGGTGGTTCGACTTGTCTGGCATCCACCCCAACCATCGAACCTCAGGAGGTAGGTCAAGAGCCCTATAGGATACCCTGACGATCCATGACCACACATAGGTCACAAATAGAAATGATCTCAGGATATGCATACGTTTCTATTGATCGTGTTATTTGAAGACGTTGTCGAATCACAGATTGGGGTACCTGAAATGTATATACAATTCCGGACCTCACCCTGGACCTCACAGGGTGAGGTCGGACCTCACAGGTCGCAGAGCCCCAGAAGACACAACCCCAAATGTTAGCATATAGAGCTAACTTTCGATCCTCAGGGATATAAGAAACCACCAATACATCCAGACTTCCAGTAATTCCGTCCACGCATGGGAGCTGTGAATCAGACTGTGAGTGGATCCGAATGATGGGCACTGTGACTCCGCACCCGGCCGGAACTGCAGCCAGTCCATTGAGAACTGGGAGTCTTCCAAAGAGCAACTGGGAGTCGAAATAATGTGTGGAAAGTATGCTCAACGATTACCATCAGCGACGAGTATATACATCCCGTAAATCCTATCCATGATGACAATATGTGTTACCCTAAGAATCAAGGACCCTCAGTTCGGTGAAGGTTTGGTTCGGGTCCAAACCCCTACATTCTGCAGGGTCCAAACCCTCCAGTTAGGAGGGTCCAAGGATTCTTAGTAGGGGTTATGTGTTTTTTTTTTTTTTTTCGTTTTTGGTGCTTGTTGATATATATATATATATATATATGATGCTTTTGGGAGGGAACACTTGAGATGTCATCTTTATATGTGTTGTTTGCTCGCTGCATGGGAGATGGTTTTGATGTGCTGCCTCAATGTGGGGGAATCCATTTGCATAGGGCGGGACTATATGTTTGTGTTTTTGTCCTGCTTACTAATCAGCAAATCGAAGTTGGACGTCAAGAGTTTCATACCACCTTCAT